CTTCCTGTTCCAGCCACACACGCAGGCCTACCCTGATTCATTTAACCTGAAAAAGGGTATACCAGGATGTGGCAGGGATACGTGATTAATATCTTCGGGACGAGTCAAATGGAGGCTTGAGCACCGTGTCTAACACAATCCTATCTCGTGCCTTATGAAATACTAAGGCTAATATTACTCACTGATGTCACTTATATTACGAATTTGACTTGTTCAGCCTTTCCTTTGCCACCATCGGTTACAGACAGCGCCATCTCTTCATGACGTATGCCATTTTAGAAGTAAACAGGACTCAACCGCTTTAAAACAGCCACACGCGGGGCCTTTGCTCCATGAGACTCCCCTTTTCCCCTGCACTTCCGGAGAGGCTTTCAGAGGCCAGACTCCGGAGTACCAACACTTCCTCTCTCGAGCTCAGGATTCCGTCCCTGCTTGGCTTCCCCGACACTCCTTCACCCGAACACAATCGGTTCCCGAGATGAGTCGTGGAATTCTTTCCTGAAATCCAACCCGTTTTACAAGCCCTTAGGAACAAGGTCGTAACAGTGTGTGCGGTCGGAATATGTCCATTATTTCGTGAAATTGAGTATTGTCTGTAGATTCAATTTGAGTTTCGTTTGTGAACTATCAACTCACCATTGTGCAAGGAACGGAAAGGCTCATTTTTATTTTTTCTGTATTACTGTTCACAATTGTATATTTTGTAACTATAAAGGTGAAACTCATTATTTTAGCAATAAATGGTAATTAATGTTAATAATCGTTTATAGACCCCCTAAAGAAGTTATTTAAATTGAATACCGGAGGTTAGTGAACTTGGGGTCGGAATATTAATAATCTAACTAGTCAAGAATTATTCCCCACACCACTCTTCGCTTCGCTAGGATGTGGGAAATCTAAATATATTTCTCAGATTCAGTTAAAACATTTTTTTTTCTAATTACATACATATAAAAAGTCGAAGTTGCTTAAGGTTTTCTATCTTATCGTATCCATCGCGAGTGAGCTCAGTGTCCGAATCAGGCAACTGAATAATCCCACTAATCATGGGCATTTACTTGACTTATTAATTGAACTATATAAACAAATCAAGATACACAGCCTTTCCTTTTATATATTTGTGTATGTAATGTCATATCATAGAGGTAGAGTATGATGTTGAAGATATTCATGCCACCGAAGTCACTATCACGTCATATGACTCGGACACGTTGGAAATTCTCTGATTGGCTAGCCGGAGTGAATCAAACTGTAATGAGGTAGAGGCATGCACTTTAGTTCAAACCGAAAGATGTTTCAACAGGTTCCAATAATGTGCGTGTAAAAAGCAAACCTATATCAAAGAGTTAGGGAAATGTTACAAAAAAAGGCCTTATGTTTTTATGTAAAAATAAATAAGTATATATGTATGCAGATATAAACACACGCACACCCACCCACGCACCTTGCACAAGCATGCTTAAGACAATACTTTAGGTTATTAGGTTATTAATTACTTTGTGTTCACAGAATAATGTGAAAAGTTATGGGCAGACAATGATGAAAACGTACCTCTAAAATAGCCATGGATCAGGAACCATTTGATTGGATTTTGGTGGTGATTCGGTGTGGATCATGAATAGAATAAGTGGTCCTGAAGCCAAACTGGAGACAACTGATAGTCTAGTCAAGAATGGCATTGGTAGTCCTGGGGCCAGTTGATAGTCTGACCATGAATGGCACTGATAGCCTCGGAGCAATAACGCATGGGAGAGCCCTCGGGTCATCCTCACGATTTTAAAGATGACCAATAAGTTCGGGCACCCTGTTATAACCCCCGTCATTATATTTCTCTCCCCTACATAAAGGCAATGTATTGTTTTTCCTGTTGTTTCTCCGTGTTGTCATTTTTCGGACTTTTTGATGCCACACTCATTTTTTTGCCAAATGATAGGGAATTTGAAAGGACGGTAGCCAAAACCTATACACGTATATATATATATATATATATATATATATATATATATATATATATATATATATATATATATATATATATATATATATGTATTGTAATTTTGATACTCCAGCTGAAATCTATTTCATTGTGATTTTTATTTATTTATTTACTTAATGCAATTTTCCGTAAAAATGCCTATACCTAAGTCCTGTAATGTTATGGTTCAGGGAATTCAGCTGACATTTGGCACAGACGTGTATCTATCTCCATAAGATACTGTTCATTACATGTGGACGAGGCTGCTGATTTTTGTGAAAAATATTATCTTTTGACCATTTTCGACAACCCAGAAATATATGATCGTAATCATTTGAACTTGAAATAGTTTCTTTACAACGGTACATTGTATTGTAGTAACGTATATGTTTTATAATTATGGCATTCAAGAGTGTTTTATACAAAGACTTTTCAATAGTTCATTTTCGTAAATGGGTATTAAAAGGGGGGGGGGAAATATTCATGTATTTGCCTTTCAGTCTGCAGGATCTACTTGAAGGGAATGAAATAAGCCCCGCCTGGCTACGTTTCGAGGACAATTGGGGTAAACTACGTGTTCACTTTTTCACCAAAAATATTAACTTTTTCTCTACTAAGTATATAATATGAGCTTTTAGATCTCCAGCAGAAAAGTTTTTTTTTCCTGCTCGATGGATTCCTAAGCTACTCACAATTTTCCATAAAACAGGAACGAGTCTGTTTTTCCAAAGTTCTTTTAGCCATATGAAAAAAAACAAAACAATTACACTGGATACAAACTCTCACTTTGCATCATCTGACTTTCAACTCTTTCCATCCATGGAGTCATTTCTGAAGGGCAAACGTTTCTAAGATGATGAGATCCTGATTTCTGGTCACTTCGTGGCTTCAAATGCAACCTGCGGACTTCTACAAGCTGCATAAAACGACGAGAGAAGGGTTTCACTTTTGGTGGGACCTGTGGAGAGAAAGAGTAATAAGTGCACAACGTTTAATTCCCCTATGTCCTTGGGAAGAGGGTCAGGGGAAATCTTTAATAAGCGCATCTTAAATGAATGAATAAATAAATAGATAAATAAATAAATAATATATATATATATATGTATATACATATGTGTGTGTGTGTGTGTATGTGTGTGTGTGTGTGTGTGTGTGTGTGTGTGTGTGTGTGTGTGTGTGTGTGTGTGTGTGTGTGTGTGTGTGTGTGTGTGTGTGTGTTGTGTTTGTGTGTGTGTGTGTGTGTGTGTGTGTGTATAAACTCACACACACACATACATACATAGAGGAGGGACTGTGTGTGTGAAGTCAAGGTGAGATTCTGCATTGATAACTGTGACATGTATGTTTTATATTATGTTTAGCACGCCTCACGTTTAGATTATAATATAACAAGAATATTACTTTAAAAATGCAATGTGAATGTGAGTTTGAAAAATGAGCCTTATTTCAATGTCT